GAGATACTTAGTCAATTAACACTAGCCTATTCTAGCAAAAGAACTTCCCATGCAATATCATGAATTTGAGATGACCTTTCTTGGTATACCAACTCATGTGGTGTTGGTTGTCTTTAGGGGTTCAAGTTGTGAAACACTGATGGCATGCATAAGATGCTTGCAATAGTGTTCTCACATGCTTCTAGCACCTTAGTAGTCTCTTATAGTGCCCAACATAAGTAGACAAAAAATAATAATAATAAAAACTGACAACCCAATTGACTATAAACTAAATTATTGTCAATTGATATAAATTTATGTAGAAATTATAACAAGTTAAATACATCTCAAAGCACTCCTAATGCTGACCCTAGGTGGAAAATGTGTGTGCAAAAGCATATTTAAAGTTTTAATGAAAGATGTTGTAATTCCTTGGTCCATAAACTAATATATAGAAATATACTAGATGAAAATTAAGTTAGTGAATTGATCTAAGCTTTTAAATGAAAGATATTAAAAATAAATATATAAAAGTTAAGTCATTGCATGAGAATGAAAACTGATTATAGTTACATTTAAAAACATATATAAATACAACATCATAGTAAATTTTATATGTTAAACAATGTTAATGTTATAATAGTAGAATTAAAATTTAGAATAAAACGGTCTTACAATTATTAATACATGTATACATGTACTAACAAATTTTTCATGCAAAGAAAAAATATTTATAACCTATTAAATTAAAACTTACAAAAAAACATACATATTACCTCTTGAATCATGAATAGGGTTTTATAATCCTAGAAGAGATGCTCAATTCCAATTCTTCTTATCATTTGAATTAACTATTTCCTCACGATATTCAAAATCTTCACCCAATACATCAAACATAACCATTCTTCTTTTGCCTCTTTCGTTGGAATTGAAATATCAATACAAAACTCCTTGTTATCTTTTTGGAAATGATGTTCAAGAGTTCTAATTTGGGTATTCATGCATATCCTTCATGTACAAATATTCTTGAATAATCTAGCAAAAGAGAAGGTAAACTTTTTTTCATTTGTTATTTCTTAATAATAATAATAATTTAGATAATTGTTTTTTTTATTAATTCTATAATCATGGATTATAGTATTTACCATGAACTATTGTTTAATGAACTATTTATTATATCTTTGTCTAGATAGGTATCTTACACAATAAAATTAATTCATGTTGTTTGAGAGGCCAAATAAATGGCTCTTAACTTTGAAACACGGCCTATGATTAAGTTTAATGTATCTATGATCTAAAATTAATTCCAAATTTTGAAGCATCATATTAATCATATTTAACTAAAACTGCTCTCCATCAACTATAACATAATTCAAGAATTTGGGTGGAATCTCTTAAATATTAGCTTTATGGTCACCATACTCGCTTCCTTTTACTCATCATCCATTATCCATATTGCTTTTATTATACACATAATCTTAATTAAATTTGAAATTACAAAAGAAATATCTTGCAGACTTTAACTTCACGAGCTGTGTTATCTAATTGTTTTTTTTTAATTGACTTGTTTTTAAAAATATTGTATATAATAACAAGTTCAAAAATACTACTATAAATAAGAAAATTACCTTTCAAATTGGTACATGTATCAAGCTTATATAGGACTACCAAATCTTATTTCATATGCCAAATGAATCAATAAATACTTCTTATTGTAAAAAATAATATTAGTAAGAGAGTCTTCTCAAGTTTATCAATAAATTAAATTATAATTTTTTTATATTTTCTTCATATGATGAACACATAAATTTAGTGTGAATATCATGGAAGAGATCAAAGTTTAAATCAAATCCTCTTTTTCTAATTTATTATTCTACTTCCAATAAGGCTGATTAATTAGTAAAAAAATCAATAATAATAATAATAATAATAATAATAATATCTTGTTATTATATGCCAATAGAAATATCTTATTTTTTGCCATGCAATATGACTATTCCAATTTTCTATATGTAATCCTAAGCTAACATATCATATGCCATAAAATCACTGATTGTCCATATGGTAATAGCTCTCATCAATCAAAAATCTTAAAAAGAGAACAATTTTCTTATTAAACTTTTTGGCCTGAGAATGAGTAATGCTAAAAAGAAGAAGATTATTTCATGCAAACTCTTGAAAGCAAATTTTACACATAAATGAGGACTGGCCAACAAGTATAGACATCAAAATGTAAGCTTTATATACTTTTTGATGAAATAAATGATGGATAAATACAATCAAATTCTTTCTAGTTTTCACAATCTAAATGATGCGCTAACACGCCCTTAGTGGTTTTATTCCTTACATGAAAAATGCAATTTTTTATGTTATATATAACCATTGAAGATTTAGTTTTAATGGTGTTATGAAACACCTCATATGGAACATATTTTTATCAAACACCTAAATTTTTTTGTCCTATAATGAGAGTGCCCAAATAGTGAATATTCTAAGAAGAAAATATAATTAATTTTACCTACATCAATTTGTTTATCTTAAGCCCAAGATCCCCCACTAAATTCGGTATATATCAACATCTAGGTTTTTATCCTTTAGCATCATTGAGTTAATGATAGAAAGATATGGTCATAGCAAACATTTAATGCATTCAAGTATTGTAAATTTGAATGATGCTTGTAACCTTACAATCATCTATTATCAAAGTGCATAAATTTGCAGCGTGTATATTTTATTTCTTTAGTATTAGACATTTCCATGAAGGGTTAATCTTAGACATGTCCACATAAGTTGTAGCTAATTTGTAGCTGCAAAATGGATTTATAAGGACTAAACGCATTTATTAGTTTAGGAACATAAAGATCATGCTTAAAGAATTAATGTGGTGTTGACTCTGCGGTAATTTTCTTACCTCATTAATAAATTCAATGGTTTGGTGAATGTTATCATCTAACTAATGGTACATTTGCTTACCATCACTATGGTCTATATATTTAATAAAAAATAAAAAGAATAAGATAACTCTTGCATAATTATCAAAATTCTATTAAAATTTATTTTATTATAATTGAAATCCTAATTATATAATTCATGAATCCTTATGGGACATAAGATTTTGTATAATTCGTGAACTCATATAATCCGGGAGAGAACTTGAAGAAATGAGAAGAAGCTTTTTGGGGGTGCACAGAACCACACCTTTCCTCCTCTCTTATACTTAAGAGTCTATGTACCTATGCAGGGGTCTAGAAAATAAACCTAATCTATGTAATATGGAGCTTGAGTAGATTCATCGTCGACAAGACTACTGGTGTGGATTGTCATGATGTTAATAAATGACGGTACGTATGATAATAGATATAAATTATCTTCCCCTCGAGGAGCTACTTATAGAGCTTGGTGGTATAACCAAGTAGTTGTTGATGAGTTTGATAAGAAAGTATAGCCAACTTGTACGAGTATGGAAAAAAAAAAAAGGATGATGTAGGCAAGTTTGGTGGAGTTTGGTGGGAATGACACTTCCTGGAATGGTAACATACCTTGGAGGTACTCATAGATTCCTTCCAGATGGTAATAAGCTTTACAACTTGTCACTTCCGAATGTACGGCTAACGAGTATGATTGATTTAGTCTATGTCAGACCACTAAATGCACACCTGATGGGTTTGATCCAATAAGCCCATGAGACCCATTGAACATTTGGGCTTTCCAGTTCCTTAAAAATTCATTTTTGGGTATACATAATTTATGTCATTTGAATAAAACCTTTTTTTTTATTAAAATATAGATAAAAATGGCAAAAATCGGCCGTTAATTAACTTGCTTATGGATTCCTAGAATATTTTTGTTTGCTAGTAAAACTACCCGAAATTGATTTCCAATTCATGAGAAAATAACTGAAGAGTTTTTTGAAAATTTCATTGGCAATAAATCTACCAATAAACTGTACATTTTGAGAAAAATAATAGGCTAAAAACTAATGTTTGCATGTATTTGCTAAATATCATAGATAACATCATATTGTAATGAAAGAAGAATAAAAAAAAAGCTTAGGGTGTGTTTGGGGTAGCTTGTGCGTTTCAGGATAAACTGCTTATCCTAAAAACTCAAACGCGGTTTCGGATAAGTTGACGAAACAATCGAACCAAACGATACGTCAGCGTTTTCAAAACATCGCCCGCACTTATAAGTTCCCCCAAACGGACCCTTAAGAAAATCAACCCAAAATATGACCAAAACACTTAAGATCATGTACAGTGTCTTCATTAGTTACATTAAATTTTATTTAAAAAACTTCATCGAAATTCTTTTAACTAGTATGTTTGTCAAGCATCCAATACATTTAATGTTTAAAAACTTTATTAAAGATGTACAATTGCCTCTTTGTAAAATAAGAGTGTTTATTGAACGGTTTAAAAACAGTTCACAGCATGAATGTCAAATCGCACGCAAAAAAAGTGGCTCAATGATTATGCCTAATTAGTGCGGGTGAGACTTTCGGGATTATTTATGTGTTATTTTTGAATTATTTCAGGGTTATTGAATTGAAATTTATGTATTTTTCTTCAATAACCCTGAAATAACTTCTCTAGTTTTACTTTAATAACCCTGAAATAATCTCCGCGATGTTGCAAACGTGGCGGCATATTATTGGAGTCCGCACACGTAGAGCATAGGGATTAGCCATGACATAATTCTTAACAAAGTTCCATAAGGTTTAGATGACTATAGAATTGTAAGTGTCTAAATTGCTAGTCTTGCAAATTGAAGAGTTCTTTTAACCATAGGTTGTAGATTACAATAGAAGTTTAAGCATCCAAATGATTAGCGGATCAACACCATAAGGTAACCTCTAATGCTTTTGATTGTGGCATACTATTTTGATATGATCCTTAGCATGTCAGCTGATCATCTTGTCTAACATTCATGATGAGAGGTAACGTCTAATTACATTCATGATAAATTCATGATAAATGATGGAACAAACAGAAAGGCATAACTCAGAAATAAATTCAGTCAATGAATTAAACGAATAGAAAGAATGAAGCAGACATGAGGTTAGAATCTACCGCTTTAGCACAAAGCTAACATAAATTGGCAATCCCAATTTTCATGTCATGTTTTGTCATCATATTCACAGAAAGAACAAAAAAAATCAACTACCATAACAATATAATAAATCCAGTTAGAGAATCTGAAGCTTCTGCAGGTGCTCAAGAAGAGAAGCAGCCTTGCGCTTTGCCCTCTCCGTACCACTCCTTGAAATTTCTGTCAAGGGAATAATGGAGCCCATCCTCCCAACACGAGCAAGGTTTTCAGAGTCCTTCTTACATAACGCAAGCAATATAGCCGTTGCATTCTCCTTATTGCGTGGCTGCCCATTTCTTAAGATATCAATAAGAACTGGTATTGTATTTGATTTCGACATTGCTACCTTTCCTTCTCTGTGGCTCACAAGAACAGCCAAAACAGTCAGCACTTCATCCACCATGCCACTGCTTGCAGAATCCCTCAGCATCTTCAGTAAAGGTCTTACAATACCAGCTCTCACAGCTCGCGATTTGTTTCCTTGGTAAATACACAAGTTGAACAGAGCCGTTGCAGCATCCTTCTTCCCCCTAGCGCTTCCCCCGTCAAGCAATTCCACAAGCGCTTCTATAGCTCCAGGTGTCCCACCAATGATTATTTTGTTCTCGTCCGAAAGAGACAGACTGAAAATAGCAGCTGAAGCATTCTCCCTCGCCTCCATGCTTCCCTCTCTGAGCACATGAACGACCGGAAGAATTGCTCCGGCAAGCATTATTTCTTCCTTGTTGTGATCATAGATGGAAAGGTTGAGAAGAGATGTGACGGCATGCTCTTGTATCTTCTTGTCATCGACCAACAAGAGGCTAACGAGTGCAGGAATGGCTCCTGCTTCGGCAATCAGTTTTCTGTTATTCGTGCTTCGCTTCGACAGTGATCGTAACTCGGATGCAGCCGATCTCTGCTCGTCTCTTGACCTGCTGGAGAGTTTAGAAACCAGCGCGTTAATCAAGGATATCTCTTTGGAAATCGTGCAAAGAGTTGCAGCATTTCTCATATGCCCGTTTGCCAGTTTATGTGGCTGCTGGATCTTGTTAGCCTCACACCATTGCATGATGAGACTTCTCAGAACATAGTTGGGAGTCAGCGTATGGTTCTGAAGCTTCTGTCGAGTCTTGGGACATGTACTGTGCCCGCAATCTATCCATCTCTGAATAGAAGAACGCTCATATGTCTGAATGGATGACGGTAAAAAGTCAGTATTAGGATAAGAAGATTTTAATTGAGAAACAAATTTGTTTGTATCTGAAAGCATATAACAAAGTTTAAGTTTTTTTGAGATGAGAATGTTTAGGTGGATGAGTGGCTTGATATTTAGAGACAAAATGCAAAATGAATAATAACAAAGAATCATCTGAGATGGTTTGGTCACATTAAACGAAAACAATCTGAGATTCGGTTAGGAGAGCAGATGTCTTAGATTCGACTTATGTTAAGAAAGGAAAATACAGACATATTGTATAAAAGATAATCTCAATCTATTAGAATTAAATAAAAATAAGACACTCAATGGGGATGCAATGGAGAAAAATGATTCATGTGGTTAATCCCACATACCGGTATAAAGGCTTGTTGTTGTTGTTTTACTAAAGATGTAAGGAGGTTGTAGGGACATTTGTTCATGCATGATAGGATATAGTTTTGCCTTTGAAAAATATAAGAAATCCCAACTCTTTCTAGTTCGATGAAACCATCATGAATTTCCTCAACAATTGTCATAGTAAAATGGCTGAGAACTACAAAATACCTGTCCTGTTGAGACAATAACAGGATTTCTCATGAGCTCAAGAGATATTGGACACAGGAAATCCTCTGGAATCTCGAGAGAATCACGTTGCTTATCATCCCCCGCGCTGCTTTCTGAATTATTTGACCTGATTCCAGTTTTGACATCTTTAAACAGATCAGCGTGACTGGTCCTTTTACGCCTATCCATCAATTTGAGCGTCATTTTTACAGTGTCATAATTATATTTTCCATTGACTTCTGCAAGAGCTATAACCATGTCTCTCAGCTCGCTATCAACAATGCAAGTCGCGTCCTTTTCTGCTGCTGGCAGTTTAAATGAACGCGGCTGTTTAAATTCCTTTACATTTTCGGAGGACAACATGATATAAATTTCTTGGAAAATAATCAAATTTTCTGCTCCAATCTTTTCAATCTCCCTCCTCAGTTGTGCAAGAACCAATTCAGCCTGGCGACAATGAGATTCGCAAAATCAACATTTTTTATGAACTTTCTCAAATAATAAGACCAACTAGAAGACATACAAATCGCTTGACATACCTCCTCCTGGACTTCGTCAGATATCTCAAAATGCTCATAAGAAATGTTTCCTAGGACTTTCTCCAATTGCCATGTCACATACTCGTACTCGATTGCCAACTTCTTAGTCACCAAATCCTAGATCATGCAACATTTAGATTAATCAGCAACATTTCATGGTGCACTTTTGTTCATCAAATCATCTCTGTCTTTTTTTTTTTGGCCGTTTCAGGGTGAAAAGATTCAGAGGTTTTGAATAAAGTGAAAATACTCCGATTTAGAAAAAGGCATTGATCACTGAAAGCAGAACCATTCATCCAAATCAATAAAAACTTGATACCACCAAAGAAGAAGGAAATCTCAAGACTGACCAGATTGGAACTCTTTCCGGCATTCTTCCACGCAGAGAGCAATAAAAACTTCTTCACCGCTTCAAGCGCAAGTTTCAGATCCTCCATAAAGGACAACAGCGAGGACCCCGCAGACGAAGTTGACTCCACCTTGCCAGCATGGCGGTTAGCAAGGTTCCTCATTTCCTCAAGAAGGTGGATCAGGAGCGAGACCTTCCGCGCAAGACGAATGCTTTCTGCGGACAAGGAGGTGCCCATGGTGGCGATCTCACGAGCAAGGCCGAGATTCACATCTGCCACCGTGTAAGACCGAGAAGAAGAAAGCGCGAGCCAAAGACGACCCTTTTCGGGCAGCAGAGACGATCTCATGGATGAAAGGAAGCGGCTTTGGGGTTCTGAAACGGGAGAATGGAGGGGGGAAGGGATGATTAGGGCAGGGGAGAAGGGGGTTTTAATGAAGGTTTCGACGCCGCACGATCCGATTTAAGAGATGGGTTGCCGCATCGGCTACGGGAGATGCAGAGGGTGTTGTGAAGGAATCTTCGCTGTAGGCAAATGGATCGCCGTGCGATGATAGGTCCGGATGCGATTTTACGTTAGAGGTGGATTATTAGTAAGCCGGACCGTTAGGAAAACATGGGTTCTGTTTGAGTTATCCCAAAAAAAAAAATTTAATAATGATAATTGAAAAATGCTCCCCTAATTAAATTTAAAATTAAGAAGGATAAAGATGAATAATAAAAATTTATTTTTATTTAATATTTTATTTTTATTATTTTTAATTGAAAAAAAATTGTATGAATATTTTTAGTAAATTTAGTTTTTTTTTAATCTTATTGGAATTTGAAATATAATATATAACTATAAAGTATAGGATGTATGAACACTTCAAAGAATAAAAGGTCATGTTTCACTTGCGACCAGATATTTTGAAAATTATAGTGAAAATTTTGACTAACGTATATGCTTTGGGTAAAATAATTCAATAAAATAAGAGTTGTAGGCCAATTAAATGTAGTTAGAGATTAAAATCTATATTTTTTCTGCCAATTAGAACTAAAATGAAACATCTATCTAATGGGGGTATTCAATTATTTGATAAAGCGTGAAAATAATAATGAAGTGTACACCATAATAGTCGACACGAATCTCAAAGCATCCGAAAGGCCCATACGCGGCCGGATAATCAAGGCGTCCTACTGCCAACTGTGTGGTCAAGAATCGACCAACACATTATGGCGAGAGACTTGAGCGACATACCCGACAAACACGTATTTTAAAGACGACAGTCGCCACTTAGTCTTTCGCCTTAGTCGGTCGAATTCAAGCAAACCGACAAGCCAATTAGCCTCATGTTAAAATTCAAATTGTAAATACGGATATGGTATTAAATCCAAACGATTAATAAATGTATACAGTGTATTGCAGGCGGATTCCATAAATGTTTCCTTCTTTTGGTAATCGTACACAATACTCTCATATAAATAGGAGGTAAAAATATGAATAAAGGGACCTCTTTTTCTTCCTCTATCTGGAGGGAATTCTAAACTTTTTTTAATCTCTCCACTCCTTTCGTCCAGCTCTAACTCTCGAGTCATATTCACAAAAGATAAATTAGGATCTAACATCTTAAAAGGTGGTGCGGTGAGTGTGGATATGTCACAGGACGGGAAGCGGGAAAGACTACAAAGGAGAAGCTTCCCAAAGAGAAATAACACGCATGAAACTCATTAGAGATGCTACACAACCAGATGCCAATGCACAAGTCTAGAGCTTACAAGCCTAAATGATCATCATGATGGAACAATTCGATATCCTCCGGGCAGCAATCACCTAGAGGAACCACCGACCACCACGTTTGGAGGCAGAAACTCAGGGTTTCCGCCCTCAAAGGACCCCACTAACGAACTCTCCTATTTTGGACAACCAAGTCAGCAACCAACGAATGGAGGGACAAGGCGAGTCCCAACACATTGACATTGAAGTGTCTGCATAAGCAAACAATTGATGGGAAAAGCGGATGTGAGTGCCTCTTTGGTGGCTGGCAGGAGGCACATTTACTCAATAAATCAAAAAGGTGATACCTTCATCCAAGCTAAGGATTCCTCATTGGATTCTTACGAAGGGAGGGCTGATCCAATTGATCACATCGCATCATTCAAATCAGCCATTAGTCTTGCCCAGATTGACGACCCTATAATTTGTTGTCTTATTTTAACCACCTTAAAGGATTTGTCTCTTTAGTGGTTCAACGGTCTACTAATGAAAAACATCTCAAGTTACAACGAGTTTAAGAAACTCTTCGTTTAGCACTTCTCAAACATGCAGAGCCCGAGGAAAGACTCGGACGTCCTGCTCGACCTCAAGCAGGGAGAAAATGAGAGCATGCTAGCCTACATCACCCGCTTCAAGAATGAAATGCTCAAGGTTAGAGATTTGAAGCCTGATATAGCTAGACTAGCCTTGAAATGAGGAGTCTGAAGCAATTATTTCATTGACTTGAACCTATTTAAACCCGCTACTTTTGCAGAGCTATTGAAGATGTAGAACGAGCACATACCCACCGAAGAAGATATATGGGACTCTTTCAAGGGAAAATCAGTCCACTGTCGGTCACCAAAATAATAACTCTTGGTTTCAAGATCAGCGAAGAAATGACCAAGGGAATCATGATCAGAAATGAAACTTTGACAAATGACAAAAACAGTATTATGAGCGGCCACTTGTCTACTAGGAAATGCAGGGTTTGACACCCCTTAACGTGTCAATGGAAGAAATGTTCTAGGCCCTACAAAGCAAAGACTACTTCAAACTGACCCCGCCACTAATGGAGGCCCCGACCTTATGTGATCCGTAGAGGCACTACTAGTACCATCTCAAACATGACCAAGAGGAGCTCATTCGTACCAGGAAGCTCAAAGATTTTGTTGCAGTTGGCTCACATACACAGCGATAGAACAAGGTTGCGGTAGGAGAACCATCAAATGGACATATCCATGTCGATGAGGGCCAGTAGATGAGATAATCCTAGCCATTTTATGGGACCCTCTCTCAGGAAGAGACAACGTTTGAGAGAGATATGCTCCATCATCCAATATACACGTAACCATTTGTTAATTGTCTTTACAGATGAGGTTCTCCCACCGAAGAGAAACCATTACAATGAAGTGATCATCATGACAGTATTGATCAGCAAATACTAGGTGGGTAGCATTCTCGTTGATATATGGAGTTCAATTAACATTTTATTCAAAATAGTGCTTGACAAGATCGACCTAAAAAGTAACCAGTTGACAGCACTGACCGCCCTTTATATGGATTTTTCGAGGAAAGGAAGAAGGCACTAGGCCTCATCATCCTAACTATCTCTTGGAGAGAACTTGGGAAGTAGTACAACATTATGGAGGACTTTTCCGTGGTGGAATCACCGGTGACCTACAATGTCACCTTCGGTCTCCTAACCCGACATGCAATTACACAATAATTTAGCTTCTAAAAGAAAACCAAAAAACTTGACCTGAATTTATATTTAGCAGCTAGTGTGCAAAATTGAAATGTTATAAAATTTAGAAAATAAATTACATACTAGGGATACTACGCAAATATACGTATCATTTCAAGTAATATAGAATTTTCTTTAAAAACCAGTATCAATTCCATAGAGAAGCGAGGTAAGAAAGCCATTAGGAGAAATCCCAGTCTACTATTATCAAGTCTTAGGTTGGAAGGTCGATTAAGATGATATTTTATTTAGCAACTCCTTTTAAATGAATATATTAATGTAAGGATAACAAATATTCCTAAATGCAAATATTAATTACAAATATAACTTTTTTGGATAAATTGGTTTGCAGAATTTCAAGATGTAAAAACTATCATTCTCAAGTGAAACGATATAGAAAATGTGAAGGAATAAAATGCATAGAATTTAATGTAGTAGTGTCAAATAGGAACATATTTATTCTTTACTTCTTTCGAAGTGTAAAGAACATTGACTAATCTAAAGATGGTGTGAGCATGTATAGTAGTGTTGGATAGGTTCTAGTCTCTCACTCCTAGATTACGCACTTTGCCCTCTCTATAGGACTTACCAGTGACCCTTAGTTCCAAACTCTAAACCAAATTGATAAAAAAATATAGCCTGTCACCCTAGAAACATCAATTCTATGCTCATCAAATCTTATCTCCTTATTTATTTGCACTCCCCCTCGGATGATCATCATTGCACTTTCCAAAGTGAAATGTGTCTCTACTCGTTGAAAATTACACCGTCCTCTCGGTTCTTAATGCAATTATAATGGATTGTAACATTACAACAAACCAAAATTGTAATAAAAATGAAGTTCAAGCGAATACCATCACATTAATAATAAAAAAAAATTCAAACATGCATTCCAGAATCCTAAACATATATCTAAATCAATGTCAAGTAAAAGTAAATGAAAATAATGGTATACGCAGTAAAAGTATTTTATAGAATTTTATGTCAACAAGGAACACATGTCTACCTACCACTCATCCAAGTGTATAGATATGCTTAGTATTCTATTAGTTTTGAACAACTATTTATCACCTAGAAACTCCTAATAGAAATAGATTATTAAATTATATTTCCTTAAAAAATTACATTACCGCCTAAACTATTTCATCATAGCCAACCGAACAATGTGAGTGCACTCAAGTTGTAAGATCTACGCTCTCCCTAATCTTAGTTTCAACTATAAAAAATTTTAGCGTAACCTATTGCCACTTAAGTTATGTCAATTAAGTAAATGAGATATTACTCATCACAAGAGATTGAAATGAATTTTCTTACATAGGCCACTACTTCAAATCAAAATAAAAGAGTAAATAAAACTACTCACGAAGCATGGACAAAACACAACATAAAATTTTATTTAAATCAAAGCAAATCCACAAAAAATCTTTACAACAATTATAGAAAATTAAGAACACAATACTTATCATTTTCCTTTGAAAGAAAGATGAAAATCTTTCCAACAAAGCCTCCTAATTATACATGCAATGCTAGTACAATTCCTTACACATATCTCTCAAAAATCTCTCACCAATCTCTCCAGAAAAGGTAGAAATGTGCATTCCTACTCCTATCTATGACCCTTTAACGTTCTTGGACGTTCCAAGACTTCCCAAATGTTGAAAAGTGTCAAAAGGTGCCTCTCCAAGCCGCAAAGGGTGCTTTTTAATGCCTTGGGCCGTTTAAAACCACCTCAAACTGTTTCTGGTGTTTACGCGTTGTTTTCTCATCGTCACTGTCGCTTAGGTGCCAGTTTGGGTGATGAGGCGCAACCTTTCAAGTAGCTCCACCGTTTTGTCCCGTTTTGCTCCGTTTCAGCTCTATTTTGCCCCGTATTAGCTCCGTTGCGCTCAAATTAATATACGTACAAGATTGACATGAAAATAAACATTCTTTAAAATGTAATTTCATTCAAAAATATGTGATAAATATAAATAAGATTAAACATAGAAAGACATATCAAAATGTGTCAAGTCAAAATTTTCTTCCTTGCTCGATTTGACTCCAAATGACACCTTTTTTGCTCTATTTTTGCTAAAAGTTAATTTC